TGCTGCACATCTGCAACTGTCGCCCTACTCGAGATCGCTTCCAACACGGGCGTAAGGTCCACGGCTGGCAGAGCCTTGAAGTCCTGCGCCAACTTCTGCACGTCCGAAGTTGTGGCCTTGCTCGAGATCGCATCCAGCACAGGCCCAAGGTCCACTTCTGCCTGGAGCTGGATGTCTTGCACCACCCGCTGCACGTCCGCCACCGTCGCCCTGCTGGCGACCGCGTCCAGCACGGGCTGAAGGTCCACAACAGGCTGAGGGCTGATGTCCTGCACCACCTTCTGCAAATCTGCAACTGTCGCCCTGCTGGAGATCGCATCCAGCACAGGCTGTACCGCCTTCTGCAAATCTGCGACTGTCGCCCTGCTGGAGATTGCGTCCACCACCGGCTGCAAATCAACGCCTGCGTTCGCTGTCGCAAGCACTGACCTGAAGTCCTGCAACGTCTGCTGCACATCTGCAACTGTCGCCCTGGTCGACACTGCGTCCAGCACGGGCGCGAGGTCCACGGGTGGCTTGAATTCCTGCGCCAATCTCTGCACATCCCAAGTTGTGGCCCTGCTCGAGATCGCATCCAGCACAGACCTCAAGTCCACTCCCAGCTGGAGCTTGATGTCTTGCACGGGCCGCTGCACGTCCGCCACCGTCGCCCTGCTGTGGACCGCATCCAGCACAGGAGTGAAGTCCACAACGGGCTGGGGGCTGAAGTCCCGCACCGCCTGCTGCACATCTGCAACTGTCGCCCTACTCGAGATCGCTTCACAAAACGGGCGTAAGGTCCACGGCTGGCAGGAGCCTTGAAGTCCTGCGCCCAATCTTCTGCACGTCGGAGTTGTGGCCTGCTCGCGATCGCATCCAGCAACAGGCCCAAGGTCCCACTTCTGCCTGGGCTGGGTTGTCTTGCACCATCCCGCTGCACGTCCGCCACCGTGCCCTGCTGGCGACCGCGTCCAGCACGGGCTGAAGGTCCACAACTGGCTGAGGGCTGATGTCCTGCACCACCTTCTGCAAATCTGCAACTGTCGCCCTGCTGGAGATCGCATCCAGCACAGGCTGTATCGCCTTCTGCAAATCTGCGACTGTCGCCCTGCTGGAGATTGCGTCCACCACCGGCTGCAAATCAACGCCTGCATTCGCTGTCGCAAGCACTGACCTGAAGTCCTGCAACCTCTGCTGCACATCTGCAACCGTCCCGCCCTTCTCGAGGATCGCTTCCAACACGGGCGTAAGGCCACGGGCTGGCAGAGCTTGAAGTCCTGCGCCAAACTTCTCAACGTCCGAAGTTGTGCCTGCCGCTCCACGCCCCAGCACAGACCTCAGTCCACTCCCAGCTGGAGCTTGATGTCTTGCACGTGCCGGCCGCTGCGCGGCCGGCCACCGTCGCCTGCTGGGCGACCGCATCTGCTCAGGAGTGAAGTCCACAAACGGGCTGGGGGCTGAAGTCCCGCACCGCTGCTGCAATTCTGCAACTGTTAGCCCTACTCGAGATCGCATCCAGCATAGGCCCAAGGTCCACTTCTGGCTGGAGCTGGATGTCTTGCACCTCCCGCTGCACGTCCGCCACTGTCGCCCTGCTGGCGACCGCGTCCAGCACGGGCTGAAGGTCCACAACAGGCTGAAAGCTGATGTCCTGCACCACCTTCTGCAAATCTGCAACTGTCGCCCTGCTGGAGATCGCATCCAGCACGGGCTGCAAATCGACGCTGGTATTCGCAAGCACAGGGACTGTCATCTGCGCCGTAATGAGATCCTGCACCGCCTGCTGCACATCTGCAGCTGTAGCCCTGCTCGAGATCGCGTCCAACACTGGCGTAAGGTCCACGGCTGGTTGAGGGCTGAGGTCCTGTACCAACTTCTGCAAATCTGCGACTGTCGCCCTGCTGGAGATTGCGTCCACCACCGGCTGCAAATCAACGCCTGCATTCGCTGTCGCAAGCACTGACCTGAAGTCCTGCAACCTCTGCTGCACATCTGCAACTGTCGCCCTACTCGAGATCGCTTCCAACACGGGCGTAAGGTCCACGGCTGGCAGAGCCTTGAAGTCCTGCGCCAACTTCTGCACGTCCGAAGTTGTGGCCCTGCTCGAGATCGCATCCAGCACAGACCTCAAGTCCACTCCCAGCTGGAGCTTGATGTCTTGCACGGGCCGCTGCACGTCCGCCACCGTCGCCCTGCTGTGGACCGCATCCAGCACAGGAGTGAAGTCCACAACGGGCTGGGGGCTGAAGTCCCGCACCGCCTGCTGCACATCTGCAACTGTCGCTCTACTCGAGATCGCATCCAGCATAGGCCCAAGGTCCACTTCTGGCTGGAGCTGGATGTCTTGCACCACCCGCTGCACGTCCGCCACTGTCGCCCTGCTGGCGACCGCGTCCAGCACGGGCTGAAGGTCCACAACAGGCTGAAAGCTGATGTCCTGCACCACCTTCTGCAAATCTGCAACTGTCGCCCTGCTGGAGATCGCATCCAGCACGGGCTGCAAATCGACGCTGGTATTCGCAAGCACAGGGACTGTCATCTGCGCCGTAATGAGATCCTGCACCACTTGCTGCACATCTGCAGCTGTAGCCCTGCTCGAGATCGCGTCCAACACTGGCGTAAGGTCCACGGCTGGTTGAGGGCTGAGGTCCTGTACCAACTTCTGCAAATCTGCGACTGTCGCCCTGCTGGAGATTGCGTCCACCACCGGCTGCAAATCAACGCCTGCATTCACTGTCGCAAGCACTGACCTGAAGTCCTGCAACGTCTGCTGCACATCTGCAACTGTCGCCCTGGTCGACACTGCGTCCAGCACGGGCGCGAGGTCCACGGCTGGCAGAGCCTTGAAGTCCTGCGCCAACATCTGCACGTCCGAAGTTGTGGCCTTGCTCGAGATCGCATCCAGCACAGACCTCAAGTCCACTCCCAGCTGGAGCTTGATGTCTTGCACGGGCCGCTGCACGTCCGCCACCGTCGCCCTGCTGTGGACCGCATCCAGCACAGGAGTTAAGTCCACAACGGGCTGTGGGCTGAAGTCCCGCACCGCCTGCTGCACATCTGCAACTGTCGCCCTACTCGAGATCGCATCCAGCATAGGCCCAAGGTCCACTTCTGGCTGGAGCTGGATGTCTTGCACCACCCGCTGCAAGTCCGCCGCTGTCGCCCAGCTGGCGACCGCGTCCAGCACGGGCTGAAGGTCCACAACAGGCTGAAAGCTGATGTCCTGCACCACCTTCTGACAAATCTGCAACTGTCGCCCTGCTGAGATCGCATCCAGCACGGGCTGCAAATCGACGCTGGTATTCGCAAGCACAGGGACTGTCATCTGCGCCGTAATGAGATCCTGCACCACTTGCTGCACATCGCAGCTGTAGCCCTCGGATCGGTCCAACACTGGCGTAAGTCACGGCTGGTTGAGGGGGAGGACTGTACCACTTCTGCAAATCTGCGCTGTCGCCCGCTGGAGTTGCGGTCCACCACCGCTGCAAATCAACGCCTGCATTCACTGTCGCAAGCACTGACCTGAAGTCCTGCAACGTCTGCTGCACATCTGCAACTGTCGCCCTGGTCGACACTGCGTCCAGCACGGGCGCGAGGTCCACGGCTGGCAGAGCCTTGAAGTCCTGCGCCAACATCTGCACGTCCGAAGTTGTGGCCTTGCTCGAGATCGCATCCAGCACAGACCTCAAGTCCACTCCCAGCTGGAGCTTGATGTCTTGCACGGGCCGCTGCACGTCCGCCACCGTCGCCCTGCTGTGGACCGCATCCAGCACAGGAGTGAAGTCCACAACGGGCTGGGGGCTGAAGTCCCGCACCGCCTGCTGCACATCTGCAACTGTCGCCCTACTCGAGATCGCTTCCAACACGGGCGTAAGGTCCACGGCTGGCAGAGCCTTGAAGTCCTGCGCCAACTTCTGCACGTCCGAAGTTGTGGCCTTGCTCGAGATCGCATCCAACACAGGCCCAAGGTCCACTTCTGGCTGGAGCGTGATGTCTTGCACCACCCGCTGCACGTCCGCCACTGTCGCCCTGCTGGCGACCGCGTCCAGCACGGGCTGAAGGTCCACAACGGGCTGAGGGCTGATGTCCTGCACCACCGTCTGCAAATCTGCAACTGTCGCCCTGCTGGCGACTGCATCCAGCACGGGCTTGAGGTCCATTCTGGATCTAAGGTCCTCGACCGCAGACATGATCCTGTCCTCGGCCGAGGTCAGTGCTGCGTGCAGGGCTGTGAGGTGGGAAGGCGCCTCATTGGGCGCGTCGACGCGGTCCAGCCTCTGCGGCATGCCCACCCCCCAGCCGATCGTCTCATCCAACGATCGGTTCATCATGAAAGCGGCAATGGTTTTGTCGTGGTGCTCCAGCTTCTCAGAGACCGTGGACACGAAAGACGCCATCTCCTTCCAGACGTCAGTGGACAGCTGCTGCTGGAGGTCGCGCAGCGCGGCCACCATCGACGGCTCCTCTGGCCACTGCGGCGGGTATGCCAGTGTTGTAGCCCCATACCTCGCCATCTCCAGCTGATCTGTCCGCTTGGGCACCTCCGACATCCTCCTCGGGTGCGCATCCGGGAGCTGCCGCTCAAGGCCGTGCTTCAGCTCCCGCAGGCTGATGCGGCCGCCACGGTCGGCGCCTAGCTGCTGCACGAAGTGGGTGACGTCGTGCTGGCTGGCGTCCACGTCGAGCTGGAGGAAGCCGCAGATGACCTCGTCCCTCGTCAGCTGCCCTGTGCCACTGTGGTCGAGCACCTCGAAGAACTGTTCCACGCTGTGTATCGGTCTCCCGAAGAGTGACCGCGCCCCGCTGGTCAGGACGCCGTGCAGCTGCGCCGAAAGCGGCGTGCGTCTCGGGGCCGGTTCACTCGCCTGCTAGTGAGGAACAGGCTTCTGGGGGTCAGAGTCCGCAAGAGACAACTAAGGAAACAATCTGCTACGTAGCACCCCGCAGTTGCGGATGAGAGTGAGGGGGCGGCGAGGACGTCGTCAGTCTGCGAGGCTCTGAAGCAGCCCGCCGCAGTCGCCTAACTTTTACAAATTATGCAGTGAGCCCACCGCAGGCGCCGATTTCTTCGTTAAAGCAATGTGGGTGGATCGCGGGGTGGGTCGCGGGTAGGTCGCGGGTGGGTCGCGGATGGGCCGCAGGCCGGGTCGCGGATGGGTCGCGGATGGGTCGCGTGTGGGTCGCGGGTGGGTCGCGGGTGGGTCGTGGGGGTGGGTCGCGGGTGGGTCGCGGGGTGGGTCGCGGTGGGTCGCAGGTGGATCGCGGGGTGGGTCGCGGGGTGGGTCGCGGGTGGGTCGCGGGGTGGGTCGCGGGAAGGGTCGCCGGTGGGTCACGGGCGGGTCACGGGGTGGGTCGCGGGGTGGGTCGCGGGTGGGTCGCGGGCAGGGTCGCGGGTGGGTCGCGGGGGATGTCGCGGGGTGGGTCGCGGGGCGGGTCGCGGGTGGGTCGCGGGCTGGTCGGGGGGGGACGACGACAACAACAACAACAACAACAGCAACAACAACAACAACAACAACAGCAACAGCAACAACAACAACAACAACAATAACAACAAGAACAACAAGAACAACAAGAACAACAAGAACAACAACAACAACAACAACAACAACAACAACAACAACAACAACAACAACAACAACAACACACCAACAACAACAACAACAACAACAACAATATTTTAAGACTGTTCGCCCTTATATGCTCGAGTGTCGAATAACGCGTATTTCCCAAACCCTCGATACCCGCCCTCTTCGTCTTCGATCGAACCCCTTTTGGGGGGTATACCTTTCTTCCCTGCAGGCCGGGCCCCGGCAAGCGGCGGGGCGGCCGCGGACCGTCGGCCTGGCCAGCGGCAGCGCTGATCGGCGGGGCGGCCGCGGACCGTCGACCCGACCCCAAGAGGGACGGACAAGGGGACCGACCACGACGACGACGACGACGACGACGACGACGTCGAAGACGACGGCGACGACGGCGACGACGAGCGAAAGCGAGAGCGAGAGAGAACGACAGCAGGGCCACGAAGGGCACGAAGTAGGCCACGAAGGGCGACAGCGGGGGCACGAAGGGAATGCGTATGGGGCCACGAAGAGTGCGAACGAGCGGGGGCCACGAAGTGCAGATAATGCGGGGCCACAGAAGGCAACTTTGGGGCCACTGAGGGTAGCAGCTGGGCCACGTAGGACAATGAGGGGGACACAAATGGCGACAGCGGGGCCACGAAGGGCATGCACATGGGGCCACAACGGGCGCGACTCCTTGGTGCCTGGGTGCCGGGAGCGCGGCGCTGGAGTAAATTGCAAGAAATTCCAACGCAAGGCTATTCTTCAGTAAGTTGCAAGCAAGTCTCCAGCGAGAGCGCGACTCCAGAGCTCCGGGAGAGCGATTCCTGAATAAATTGTAAGGAAGTCCCAAGCGAGAACGCGATTCCTGAATAAAATGAGAGGAAGTCTCGGGCGGGAGCGGGGGTCCAGCCTAAATTGTAAGGAAGTCTCAAGCGGGATCCGTTGTTGTAACCTGGGGGCCAGGGGGCCAGTTTGAGCATGAAGACTTCCCCTGTCAAAAAACAAGGTGCGAGCGTCGAGGGGCACACTTTGATTAAGAAAAAACCATATGCACCGGTGAGGGGGGATCAACAATAATTATTCTTCAGAACTGAGAAATCAACAACACAAATAACAACAACAACAACAACAAGAACAACAAGAACAACAACACCAACAACAACAACAACACAAACAACAACAACAACAACAACAACAACAACAACAACAACAATTACTAGCACGTGGGGACACACCGTTCTCACCAGTGCCAGGGTTTTCATAGGAGGCGGGCAATACCCCCACTTTGTGGGGGGGCCGGTTCAAGCTCTACCAAATTTCCAAACGACTCTTCGCCACCACCCACACCCAGCTTCCCGCCCTATGACGTTCGGACACTTCACTTCGTGGCATGCGGACGACCGTGGCTACTATTCAGGGCCCCGCGGCCGACGACGACGGCGTGCGCGCGCGAAGAAAAAACGAATGTGTCCCGCATGGTATTATTTGACAGGGATGATGGCCCTGGCAGGTGCGCAACCGTTGTTGCAGAAGTTCGAAAAAGTTGCTCGCAAAAGCCCGTTTGACAGAAATGATTAAAAAGTGTTGGGTTTCCTACGAATCCGCAAGAGCGCGCGGGATGAAATTTTGACATTTTTGTTTGAAAAACCATTGGTTTTTTTATGTTTTTATGTTAAAATCGCTACGACAACTAAGGTTTTGGAAGGATTTCGTCTTGCGCGCGCAAATGTCCACTTTACTTTATTTTTTGCAAGGGATTCTTGAAGTTTGGTTATGTTAGAACAAGAAATGTCCACTTTAGCTTATTTCTTGCAAGGGAAAACCGATCGTAACAACACAACCGGATCCGGACCAACCCGTTTTGCCTGAGACTTCCTCACGAAAATGATGAAAATGAGGCTGCGGCCTAGGCGCGGCGGGGGGGGTCGCGCACCAGGGGCCCCAACAATAATTATTCTTTAGAAGAAATAATGTTCAACAACAACAACAACAATCATTTTAAGACTGTTCGCCCTTATCTGCTCGAGTGTCGAATAACGCGTATTTCCCAAACCCTCGATACCCGCCCTCTTCGTCTTCGATCGAACCCCTTTTGGGGGGTATACCTTTCTTCCCTGCAGGCCGGGCCCCGGCAAGCGGCGGGGCGGCCGCGGACCGTCGGCCTGGCCAGCGGCAGCGCTGATCGGCGGGGCGGCCGCGGACCGTCGACCCGACCCCAAGAGGGACGGACAGGGGACCGACCACGACGACGACGACGACGACGACGACGACGACGTCGACGACGACGGCACGACGGCGA